CCCTTCTAACATCTGTGTGCTGTTTTGCATAGGTGAATAGGACCCACATGGAGCTTCTTGCAGGATCCATGCTGTGTCTTCAGCAGACCTTAAAGACAACTTTAAATTGATAGTATCAGGTGGTTTGTCCCTTTCTTGTTTGATTGTCATGCTAATTGTTAGCTGCAATGTGGGAGATCCTTTTAACTAGAATACGAGACAATTTTTCCTCAACTTACTTCCTGCATGGAAGCACTATGATGGAGCACTTCATTTAATTATCCTACTGCAAAGAGATGTCAAGCTTTGACATGGTATTGTTCCTGGGACAACTTGCTTGAAAAATCTTGTAAGCATTGATGGAAACTCATGAGCATGCGTTTCCCCAAGGTGATATCCCTCTTCTGAAGGTGCACGATCTCAGTGCTCATTTTAAAACCAGAAAAAAGGAGGTAGGGGGTGGGAAATATCAGCATATGAAAAAACCTCAGCTTGTCATCTGCCAGCTGGCAAAACCATGCACTGTAATTTGCAGGGCCTTACTGAATGGTATGAATGGTCCAGCATCCCTGCTAGTGGAACATTGTGCCACAAACAACAAAGATTTGTGCCGTTGCCACCTTCAGGGCATAAGCCAAGGCCTTTTTGTGTTTTTTCCTATTTGATGAATGAGCCTATTTAGTTCCTTTGTGAAAAGAGCTTTCCTGATCAGTCTTTTGCACAAGAGATGTAGGCGATCTGTTCTCACCGGAGTTCCCTTGTGCTCTGTGAACCTGTGGTTGGCTCTAGTGATAGAGTTTTCTCCCGTGTAAAGCAGTTCAGGTAGCCCAGTGAAAAATCCTAGAATAGAAGAACTGAGTCCTGGAAGAACCCCTGTCTTAGCCAGACTAACTAACCCACTACCTGTCTGCCCAGTGTGTATGTGCATGTACATATGTGCTCTAATATTCTAAAAGAGTAGAAACATTTTATATATATATTAAAAAAATACAGTTTTATGTATAACTATTTATGGTTTTTTTTCTGCCTTCCCCCCACCCTCCCGCTATTCAGTTAACATGCCATAATTTTGCAACTAGCCATGTGCTTTTTTGCAACTTTTAACTCTTGCATTTCCGGGCTTATTTTTACTTTACTCTTCATATAGGTGGTTTGGTTTATTTTTTATATTTAACACACACAGCTTTAGTGTCTCATCCACAGAGTCCTCTCTGAGTGTAGGAATTTGGTTTAAATAGCTTGAAATGCAAATTTGATTAGACTCGATGTACGATCAGATCCCTCTAATTTAAGGATCGTTGACCTTGCTCCAGTGTGACCATCAATGTATCATTCATCCAAGAGAGCAGAAAGAATCTTCTCTTCAGGAGCATCGAGTAAAGGCTTGCTTGTTTGGTGCTGCAGTTTTGCTCATGACAACTTACTGTCACTTGCAGAGTTAGGGTATTACTTTGGTCCTAAGTAGACTGTTAGTATTTTCTTTCTAATATAATAACTGGTTGAATGCTTGTGAAAAGATGAGTATATACGTTTTGCGCTTGGTGGCCTCCGAAGGCAAAGTGTATTAAGAGAATTCATCATTTTTATAGGAGTGTAAAAAGTATTTTATTTTACTCTCCCTGGGAAAAAGTGTATAAATATATACAAATGTAAGGCTTTAATGTAGTAGAACCCTTGGAGGTGCAGGCATCTGCCCTTGCTGATCTCACTGCAGCAGTGTGTCTGAAATGTGTTATTGTAGGGCTGGAACGAACCGTTTTGCCACAGCCCTGTTGTGGGGGTATAATGCAGAATTGTATTGCCCCAAGGAAATCATTGCAAGGTATGATTTGGTTTCCTCTGTGCAGGCAGCCAGTCAGGTGTGTGTGTTGTGGGGGAAGGTGAGAGGTAGATTCGTGAATGCTATCAATGGCCCTGTGGTGGGAGCAGCTAAAATTTTTGAGTGTATGGTTTGAGTTTGCTGACGCTATAGGGATAACTCTGATGACAGAACTGTGAAAAATTCCCCATTTTCACATTTCCAGAATTTACTCATTAGTTCCCAGTGGCCTGTAATCACAGACGCCAAATTTGTATGACATTGTACCTCGCTCTCCACTCACTAGTTTGTTTTTTTTAAAAATGAATAGTATGCTTTCTGTAACTTAATAGAAACCCCATTATTTTTATTAGAGAGCTTAAGGATTAGATTTTCTCCAGGTATTTTTCGAAGTATTCGTATTTACTTTGGTGTAATATATGGATATAATTATCTCTTTGACTGTAGTTGACTTTATTCTCTATGTCTATGTTTTTTAGGACCTTTGAAACCAGAAATTACCATAACTTACATTGCTGTTTCAGCTATATTCTTTAACAGTGGACTCTCCTTAAAAACTGAGGTACTGTAATTTTTCATTGCTTCGTTCTCATTTTGCCTTAAAAAGTTTTATGTTGCTGCTGATCAGGTTTGAATGTAATTGGAATATTTAATTACTCTGCTGCTGTTGTTGATGCTGGGAGAATGGCTAACAAGAGAAGATAAATACTAGACATTTATGGAATAACCCCTCCTTGATTTCAGAAAATTCTTCACAAAGTAATGAACGTGATGAGAAGGAGAGTGTGAATAAATGTCACCCATCCATAGAGGGTGAGTTGCTTGACTTTGCAGGGCTTTGACTAAATGGAAGTGCTGAGCACAATTTTGAGACTGGATCTACACCCTGGATGTGTTCTAAACCCAAATCAGGGCGAGACCCAGGAGCACACTAGCACTTGCCTTCCGCACCTTGGCTTCCCCACTGCTCGGTTGAGATACAGGCCAGAAAACTGTGCGAATCCTCGGGTAGGAATTTTGTAGGCAACTAGGCAGAGAGGTGCTATGTGGAGTCTCCATGCACCTGTAGGATACAAAGAGAAGGGAAGATGTGAGCTCTCTGTGCCTCTCTCCTTCATCTCACCTGCTGGTGTGCTAAGTAAAACCGTTTAGGCTAGTCACCACAGGATTGATGCAGGCAAAGATCTGATGGCTTTCAGTTACCACATGCATTGGGTAGGCACAGGACAGCAGCTAGGGTTCCTCTGCAGATGCAAGACCAATAAACAGATTTAGTTGTGGACAGGTGGAGTTGAAGTGCCCATGCTCTCCTGCATATCGCAGACAGTGAGACTTGTTTCAGATTTTGTCATACATTTTTCACAGGAACAATCTGGGAATAAGAAGAGAGGAAGGGAGAGAACCTCCTAGTGATGTGTAAAGGAGGCACGGAGAAAGGAAAGGGTGGCTGCGTGCCAAGAAGAGGAGCAGCCAGAGTTGAAGTGAAACAATGCATGTCTCTGCTAGTCTAGTTTCTTGATTCCTTTTACGCTGTTGGCTGTGCTAACAGGTGATGTCATTCATATGTTGCATGATACTAATGCCTAAAAGAATCATCACTATATTGTCCAGTTGTCTTCTAGGCAAACTGGGATTTAGATGAACAATGTGCATTGAACAAAAAAATGTTTCTGTACCTGTATCATGGTTATAGAGATGACGTTTCAAATGGAGCTAGTGTTTGAATTGATGGCAGCCCTCTCCTCCTGTGTCTGCTGGCAGTTCTGGCACTAGGGCCTCTAGTTCTGCTGGGACACAGAAGAAGTGAAGTGAATAACTTCAGTTAATTCTGTAGTAGCTATTTAGAGCCTTGTGGTCTTGTGGGCAAGCAGGAAGAACCATGTTGCCTATTTGCCTGGGACACTAATTAATCCTAATGGAAACAGGCTGCGGAGAGCCACTTTCTTCCATAGAGAAGAGGACCTGAAACAAAGCCTGAGTAGTACTAATGGAGTTGAGTTTTCTGCTTTCAGGGTTAGGAATCTTTGCACGCAGAGAAAAAAATGTAAAACTTGTTTCTCTTTCACTAGTTTGTATCCTTGAAGCTTTGTATTTGTAAAGCAGCTGTGAGACTGAAATCAGCAGCATTATCAAAGTCTTGATGAGATTCTCAATGCTAGTGCATGTCTAACTTTTTCCAGTTGAGGTGACATTACTGACAGGTTCCTGGGCAATGTGTCACGTTCTTCTTTGAACTTGCATAATTTTTTTCATCTGTGGTTCTAAAAGCAATATATTGATGTAAATGAAGCTTTTACAGGAGTTGATGTTTATGTCCGGCTAGCAGGTCTCAGATTGTTTTGGTAAAGCATCAGTTAGGACTGGTGCTGTACATCCAGCTTTATGTTCCATCAAGGAGCTAAGCCTTTTCTGAATTTCTACCATGGGGGTAGACGATAAAGAGGAAGAAGAGCATTTCACTCATTGTACCTTGTCCTGTTGCTTTCTAAAATGTATGTTAAAAACAATCCTTAAATGTGTTAGGAAGCCAGGTCATGATTTTATTAAAATACTTTGGGGCATGTTTTAATTGTTTAAGGCACAACCTGAAGTTGGTATTATTAGTCAGTTAACATATCTTTGTATTGGATTGCAAAGTAAATGGTTTCTGCTTTTTGTTTTTGTTAGTTCTTGACCTGTGTGTCAGCTGTTCTACCTTGGATAATATATTTGTTCAATCGAAACTAGTGTTTGATATGCTTTAGGAAATGATAAAAGGTTGTGTGTTAACAGAGGCCTTCTGATAAAGCTGACAAAATTAGAAATAGCTGATGCTCTTTTAAGGTTACACTTCTGGTTTTATCTGCTGTGAAGGCACATACTCAAAATTTGCTAACATGCCTTCAAGAAAGCATTTTACAAAACAATTGGCAGCGTTCAGGGAAAGCCTCTTTGGGCATGGCCTTGTTAGGTTTTCACAACTAGAGGTGACTGAGGTCCTCTTACATTTGTAGAAATAGTCTGTGTCATGAATGACAACATTTAATTCCACCTTAATATAATGCTCTTTCAGTTTTCAGTGACTGGATAGCTTGCTCTTTTAAAGCAAATTCTTCCTGTAGGGCCCCAAAAATGAAATCACATGCTTGAGTTATCCATTTCAATGAGGAATTTGGCAAGCTGCTGAAAACACTGTTTGCTCTGTGTGAGTGTTTGCCCAGAGGAGTCCAGCTATGACCATCTAAGCATGGCTGGATGGCAACAGGGACCCACACTGACCAGTGAGAGGCTAGGATAAGCTCTCTAAAGGTGAAATACTGGGAAAGACAAGGTAACGTGTTCTACCTGGTGTACAGAAACAGTCTTGTAACTAGCAGCTTCCAGTAACTCTTCTGAGACTTCTGCTTTTTTGAGGGCTACAGTGATGGATGTATTTTGGGATGAGCCCTTGTAGATTGCTTGAAGGCTGTTTGCTTCAGTGTTTGTTCTATGATGATACAGTCTAAGGCATAACTATTCTAAAAGGCAATCACTAGAGACATTTTAAAGGCTTGTAATTTTAGATCTGCAAAGTCCTGTTTCACTGATGTAGCATTCCTTCGTGCACTAGGTTGGCTATGTTGTAATAGCCTTCCTTGCTCCCTGGAAGCAGTAACCAGTCTTTCCCATGTTTTTGTCTTGGATTTTGCTTTTGGAAGTATCATACAATTTTTGTCAAATCACCTGTTTTCTAAGGCATTTTCCAATTGTAAAATTGTTAAATTAAAAGGGCACTTTTGTATGTGTGATGATTCCTAGATTGGGGCTTCCTTCGTAGATTGGCCGACTAGTAAATGGGGCTGGAGGTGACTTGGCAGAAAAGAAGGAGGAATTAGTAGCGTTGCTGAAAGAAGTCACCTGCTCTGTTTTTTCTCAATTGTGTTATTTACTTTTTAAATGTACACTTTCATATGGGTATTTCCAGGTATCTTCCCATACAGGATGTGTTTCTACTACTAGACATTTTATTTTTGCTATCTTTTTGACATAAGATGAAATAGTACTACAGTGAAGCTATTCATAATGCCATAGCTACTGTGGCAGGTTATGTGTGAAGAAGGCCTATTTTTTTCATGCCCAGTGATACTAGCCTGCTTAAGAGTTTCCTTTATTTAAAAAAAAAAAGTTGTTTCATTCAGTTAACGAAGGGCTGAATGTGAATGGTATTTTCTTGGTAAAACTGGATCAAGATGTACGTTTCACGTCTATGTTTTGTGTAACTTTAAGAATAGGATATGAATGGGTCTGTGTTTTTTTTGTGGAAGGCTTTTTTCCCTTGACCCAAATTTGGGAGATAATTTTATTAAGAGAAATGAAGTAACAAGGACAGGGTGCCGAATTGCTAGCGCTTTCGGATGTATAATTACATCAGTGTGCATGTGGATGGTCAAAAATGCAATATTTGGTTGTGTTTCATAAAAGTTCAACTGTTTTGAAGCTGAGAAAGGGTGGCATTTGAAGGTTGGCTGCTGCATTACTGTACATGGAAATACAATTTTTAAATTGTTCTTTTTTTTTTTTAATGCATCTGGGGTGTCAGCTGGAGAATCCTGGCATATTAGGTTTTGAATAAAAGTGCCATCAGTTCTTTTCCTGTTGCATTATTTACTTTAAAAGAGTGCAGGTTATTTTGAGAGAGAGAAGAAGGAATTTTTCTTCTCAGTCTGAGAGTTGAAATGAGCTGAAATGCACAAGGCTTTTTCCTTGTACTCAGAAACTGTGTAGAAGATCCTTGCAGTATCCAAAAAGACAGAAACAGACATAGAGTTTATTGCATAAGGATAATTGATCACCTCTCTGGAGTGCTCTTACACTATTTAAAATTAATTTTTTTTTTCCTCTCAGTCTCCAGTGGTGTTTTGCACTTCATTTCTCTGAATTTTATGGCTTAGCTGTTGTTAGCTTGTTATGGACTTGGTATTCTTTCTTTGCTGTTTTTCATCAGCCTAATTTTTTTCTGTAAATTTTCTATGTGTTGATACAATAAATAATCAAAACCTGTTATTACTTTGCTTTTTATATTTGTTAGTCTTCCCTTAAAAAAAAAAACAAACCACCACAGATGATGACTGTAATGTAAATATCCCTTTTTTCATGTATAAACGAGAATCACAGTTTGTGGCTCTCTTAGGCTAGAGAAACCTGAAATGACATGGACAATACAAGTTTCCCTTCCTCTTGATATCAGCAGTCAATAAAATAAACAGGCCGTCAGCATAGTTAACACAGGTTTTGAAGCAGTGACAAAGTGCTAAGGCTGCCTGCTGAACAGATACTGTTACGAGAGCTATACTGTTATTGAAGTGGTGGACAGTTCTTTTGGAAAAATGCCCAGGAGCACACAGAGCTTTTATGTTGTCTGGATGTACTTCATTATTAAAGAGGAGATCAGATGATCCCTAAAGGTGCCTTTTTGACATGCAATCTCTTTGTGTTGTAGAGATGATCCTATTTTTAAAAGCACAAACGTGATCTTATTTCAGCTGTTATGACTGCAACTTCCTCTCTTTTTCTTTTGCAGGAGCTGACAAGTGCTTTGATGCATGTGAAACTACACCTTTTTGTCCAGATTTTTACACTTGTGTTCTTCCCAACAGCAATATGGCTCTTTCTTCAGCTATTATCAATCACACCTATAAATGAATGGCTTTTAAAAGGGTATGTTTAAGCATAATGGAGTGAAATATGTTTGTAGCTGTCTTCTTAAAGGGCTGCTTATCCTGCAAGTAGGTGTTCTAAGACTTGTATTGTGAACAGATTTTGCTGGTTATTTTTGTGCTTCAGCACTTTGCTGTTGAAAACACCCTCTACGCACAAGGTTATCCTTTCAGGAACCTGTTCTCATTTTTAGAAAGTCTGGTCAGTTAGGTTCATACGTGGGGCGCTTGCAACAGGTTGGCTTTCTCTCACGAAAGGCAGCTGAAGTGCTGTGCTGGGTCAAAAGGAGGGTGGGGAGGAAAGAAAAGGAATGCTGAAGGAAAACCATAAGCTAGTGAATAAATACTGTGTATGGCATGCATTGGTGTTCCATTCGGTTTTTAAATAGTCTGTATTGCATGTGTCCAGATTGGGGTTCAGTATTTGCTCCTAGCTAAACTATGGGTGGAAAAAAAGGAAGAGAGTAAGGAGAAAGTAAGTAGGAGGAGAACTTTGGGATGAGCAGAAGCTAAGTTACCATGAAAACAATGTGTTTTAAATCTTTTGTGTACTCTGCCAATGTCTGCTTCTAAAGCTGCATTGGTGGTGCAGTAGTGATAGATTACAAAAAATCAAAAAAATAAGCATTTTTCAGAATCAAAGGTCAGTACCTAGTGCTATGCAGCTATACTGGAATGCTTGAATGTAGAAATTCATTATTTTAGAAAGCTACTTAAAGCAGTTTCCTTGTTTCTTACTGCTTGGTGAAACATTGCTTGGGGAGAGTTCACTGTCTTAAAAGTTTAATGATAAAGCTGTTCATGTTTATGTTTTTACCTAAAACCTGAACCTAAAAACAACAGAAAATGCTCTTTTAAGAGGCTTCTCCAGGTGTTCCACCAAGTGTGAAGTGGTCCAAATAATACTGAGGAGGGGAAATTAAGACAACATAATTTAAAAGTTAGCACTGTTTTGTGTAACAGTATTAGCACATCAAGGAGATAACAAGGTTGCTATACAATGTCCATTTGCATTTGGCTATTCATAGTAAAGGTTATTCTTCAAAGTAAAATCATTGTGAAGTTTTCCCTCAGCTAGAACAGAGGCGTGATTTGCCACAGGGAGCCAAAACTCCCTCCTAATCCATGGGAGTCTCAGTTTCTGAAGTGCAAGGTGCAGGAGACTGTTGTGGTTTTTGTTCCTTGCAGCAATTCTCGTCCCTTCTTTCCTATGACTCTTATGCCACTTTGTTTCTTAGTGTTTAAGGGATGTGATCTGTTACATGCACAAGGATATGTGTATGTATATACTTACACACCCGTGAAACTGCATGTAAAACTACATGGTTTTTTTTTTTTTGAAAAATAATGTATGTGTATCTCCCTAAACATGGAGCCTAAACCAGCCTCATTTTTCATGAAGGTGTGTCTGTGTTTTACCAGTGAGCTAGTATACTGCCATATGTTTTAAGCTGCCTTGCAAGCACTTGTTCCTTGAGTGCTATTTCTGTTTTGGCTGTGTGTTACCTTTTAGAGCAGTAACTCTGTTTTATTGAGACTTCATGCAAAGAATGGCCAGATTGAGGAGTTTAATGAAGGTGGTTTATTTGTATTTGGGTTTTTTTTGTTTATGTTTCGAAAGAGTGCTTTCTTGATAAATACTGCTGTTCAGGACATGCTCAGAGCAGCAGCCATTGTGTGGCTCTGAAGGCATGCGTGGCAAAGGGAGCCTGACGGGAGCTGTACCTTCAGTGCTGTGCAGGTGCAGGAGCTACTGAGCTCTATACTAATTCTAGGATAACACAGGTACTTGCATGTCCCTGTATGGGTGCGTGAAAGGAGAGTGAGGAACTGCCTGTGCCTTGGTTGCTCTGTGTAACAAAAGTTCATCCTAATGCCCCACGGCTATAGTTTTTATCCCCTAGAAACTCTAAAGTACTCTAATGAAAAGGGGGAACAAGACAGGCTTTGGCAAAGTTACTTTCTTATCACGCATGTTTAGCACAGCCTGTAGTGGGAACTAGTTGACAGTCCTCACAAAGGCCTGGAAAAATAGGCGTATGCTCCCAAGGGCATGCAGCACCCTTTGGCAGGGTGGCTCCCCTGCAGACTCTAGTTCTCCACTATTCTCTACTCAAGGTTATGCCTAAAGGGTGCAGTCAAGCCCACAGTTTATTTCCTGTCTTGCTTCAGAGTGAATGGTAGATTCTCCCATCCTCTGTAATGGTCGATTTTGCTGTAAATATTATTTGAGGGACAGATTCAGATAGTACCAGCTTTTCATCTGTGTTTCTTACAGTTGGGTTTTTTTTTTCCCCTCTCTGTATGGGTTAATATTAGGAGGTTTGTTGCTTTGCAATTATTTTGAAATATATAAAATAGGGGAGAAACTGACATCACCCCAAGCATCTTTTAAGTTAATTTTTTTGTTAGCTGGCTAGGTTTTATATTGACAGCATCCCTTTGAAAAGGACCATGAAGCAGGTTATTAATGTTTGCACAGATTCACCTCTTCTGCCACTCTTAGCATATAGCATTTACAGCATAGGTGAAGCATATAGATGCAAAGATCTGGTACAAGATATGGCTTTGGTAGTTCCATATCTAAAATATGTGACTTTAGACCCTACTGCTCAATTGTCTGTAACATATCAGCAGAACGGGTATGATTTATTTATTTTCAGCGAGTGTTTGGACCCCTGATTTTGTTGGTTGTTATCTGTAGTAATCTGTTGGCCATTAGAGGAATTTGTATATTGGTAGTATTGTGTGTAGTTGATACAAAGCAAGAAAAAAGTTCACAGGTGCATGTTTTAGTATACCTGATTAAAAATATTTCCATTTAGTGTGTACCAGTTTTTTTGTAGATTCATATTTTCATATGAAGAATATTTAAAACCGTAGCTTGATAGCGAATTTTTTTTTTTAATTCCAAATGTATTATTTTAAATTTGAGAGGGTTCACAGAGATTGTATTATTAAACCTTTCCCTTCTAGTGCCAGCTGAAATGAATGCCCTTGCACACATTTCATACTTCTCTGGATAACTTTGAACTTAATCCACCCCTTATTAGTGCAGGTGAGAAGTTCAAGGAGCTGCCTGCCAAGAGACCATATAGAAGAGAGATAGCAGTATCACAACTGATGTAGGGGATGGACATCAGAATCGTTCATGTGTTTGTCTGCTGTATGTTTTCGTATATATTTCCAAACTTTTCCACACCATTTCTTTTTCCTGTATTTCTTTTCAATATAAGCTTATCCTGCTAAGTGCTGAAAACTCTCTGCTTCCATGGCTTACTTCACCGTAAGCTAAAGGTACTATATACTTCCAAGATGGTGCTTGGCACTTTGTGATGGGATTTATATAATGCTTATGTTGGTTTTCTCTTTCCTTTTCCACAGTGTCTGTAGCTGACAAACTGAATACCGTCGTTGTCATTTACCTGTTTCTTCTGTTTAAGCTTTTTGTATATTTGCAGCATATCAATTGCATTGTAATATGCTCCCTATTGTTTGGATTTAATAGTTCTGTTTGCTACAGCTTTTTGACACTGAGTTTCTCGGGGATGGACTAACACACTTATAAGTGTGAAGCAATTCACCACCAGTAATTGGTTGTTCTGAACTAGAATACTGTCTCAAACTCCCATACTTGAAAACATAGCTAGATTCCATGCTTTTGGGGGTTTCGCAGACTGTTTTATTCCATGCCTTACTGTTCCTTCTAAGTCAACACAGTTGTTCTTCAGAAGCCTGATTTTACTTAGCCCCAAATTTAATTGTAATCTATTGGGTTATGTTTTTGTTTTTTTAAATACATATTTGATACAACTAATTTTTGTAATAACCAGTTTTTGTGGACTATCTTTGAAAACAAAGGAAAGCTCACTGCTTTTTTTTCTTACTTTGCAACAGCATTTAGTATATACGTCAATAATTTTGCTGCACAAACAATGGAAAAAATGACAATAATGTATTTTAGACTTCTAAAAAGCAGGAGAAAGCTTTTGATGTTTTGATTAATGGAAGTCAGGTGGTTTTACTAAGAAGTGAAAACATGCATGAAAGTTAAATATTTGATGGACTTTTAATGTTCAGGAAATAAAAAGCTCAATTGTGATTTGTTGGTTGTTGTTTTTTTTTGTTGTTTGGGGTTTTTTTTGTGTGTGGTTGTTTTTTTTCTTTAGTTTGGATTGATGAAAAACAAAGTGTAGTGGGAACCTGAAATAGTGAGCATGCTTCTTTTTACTCCTCTACTTAGCAGTAAATGTTTTTATCACTGTACAGTTTTTTCAAGAAAATTTTTTCAGGAGTTTACATCCATATTTTATTTTTTTTCCAAATAGCTACAAATATCTCAAAACACACTACAGACTTTACTACATCAGGACATGTGATGCAGTTATCTTTGTGATAGATGTGTAGATATCTTTGTGAATGGTAGATACAGTACTACAGATGGGGAAATGGAGTCACGGAGAGGTTAAGTGTTTGGATTTTTAAGTGGTGACACAACTCTTCACTTGGTGGTTGGTAAGAGATGGCATAGAAATCCTGCCAGCCCCTGGTGCAGGGGGCTGTAATGTAACTGTAATGCAAACTGATTGAGTTGCACAGGTGATAAAATGATTGTTTCTACTCAACTGTGTGGTATTTTAAGGTTTTAAGTTTCATAGTGTTTGCATCACGTGAGGAATGTGACATTTCTTTTTGTTATTTTCAGCTTGCAGACAGTAGGCTGCATGCCACCTCCTGTGTCTTCTGCAGTAATTTTAACCAAAGCTGTTGGTGGAAATGAGGTGAGTTTTCATTTTGTTTTTGAATGTTTTTTTTAAACAGAAGTTCAAACATATTTATTTATGATGAACTCATGTGGCAAAACACTGACTGCAGTGTGATGCTATTGTGGTTTGTAAAAAATTCTATAATTAAAGCTTGGGTATTTTCTTCTTGTCAAACAAGGGAAGTAGTGATATGTTATCTGCTGGCATTGGTCAAACTGAAAGAAGCTCAGTTTTCTGAGGTGATAGAAAGTTTTCTGATAGAAATTGGTGTTAGGAGATTTCTCCTTGTTGCTGCACTGTAATTCCTAACTGTATAATGTTTGTATGCTGTGTACTGGTTACCTCAAAGACCGTTAGCTTTGTGGTGAAGACCTGCCCTTGCAGTGATTGCTGGGATGGTGTTTAGTATTAAGAGGCCCCCCAGCAGGAGTTCCTCAAGCTTGAGACTGCAAATGTAGCAAGTGAGGTGATGGAGACACAAATGTTAATTTAAATCTTAGATTGTTACTTGAGACTGCATGAAATGAAAATTTTGGGAAGGTGGAGTTCTCTGACAGTGATGCAATGCAAAGTTCTCAACAGATAGGAAATGCCAGAATTTAAGTTGTTTATGCAAACTTAGTTTGGTCACATTATATTTCTGCCTTAAAATGACATATGCTGATGTCATTTCAGACTCTTATTTTATCCACAAAATGCTTGCTATTTTCAGGAAGACCAGGTAGGCAGCATTTAGGAAATTAATCCAGGTGTGCTAATTAATGAGGTTGGTTTCCTTTAGATCTGCTTCCTCATAACTACAGAGGTAGATGAGACCTACTAGGTGAGGAAGGGAGAGAATAGTGCTAAAAGCTAGGGCTGTGGGGATGCTGTTGTGGAGGATTAGAGCCAAATCTTAATTCAGCCATAGAGCTCCCGTGTGAGGTTGGGTGAGTCACTTCAACCACATTTTTTAAATATGGCCATTAGTTGTGTACTTCTCATTTTCTGAGTTCAGACTCTTGGGACCGATTAATGTCAGCTTTGAAAACACATGATAGCACTGAAATAGATTGAAGTTGTACTTTGTACTGACAAAGTGCTGTTTAATTGCTCTATCCTCTGAAGAGAGACCCAAAGCATCTCAAGTCAAGCATTTCTAATTATGGGCAATCCTGATGCACATCAGTGTCTCCCAGTTTGCTACCTGAAAAGAAGAATCATAAAGTTATCCGATGGAGGTGGTGTGGAGTAATTAGTATAAGGAAATAATTCAGGTACATAATAGTGATCAACCGAGAAATGAGAAGTTTTCTTGTTATGATTCTAGATGTAGGTGCTGCAAATTATACAAAGATGCCACATAGTGAACAGTGAAGATGAAATGAAGTATTGAATGAGTGCTCATTCAGTGTTAGCACTGTCTGTCCTATCCGTAGAACAATGAAAAGATCCTTTAGGAAAAAAATAAGGTGTGATTGGTTAGTTGAAGGCAATATCATACGGCATTTGTGTGCAGGAGTGAGAAAGGTACTTTAGTTTCTTGGCCATTAGAGTTCACCTTTTTATGGTAGTATTCTTCTGGAGTGGTAGAGGGGTGTGTATTTTATACCAGCTGAAAACCAGATACTTTCTAACATGTGAGGCTTGTGTAAGTCATTGTGTAAATGACTGAAAAGTAAGCTTGAACCTCTAATTCTTCTATACCAAGCCACTGTTGGAAGAATGTAAAAATGCATACCTTGTTAGTGATTTTTTTACAGATAGTTGCTGACAGTAGAGACAGGGTGAGTCAAGAATTGTGTCTTGGGAATTGGGAGTTCTCAATCAGGTTCTAGGAAGGTACGCAAGAGAGAAACACCCTTTTAACATGCTCAGTGTAGACAAAGCGTGTGGCAAATTTATTGCCAAACTTGAGGAAGTTTCCAATGCAAATGTGTTTTTGGAATTTGATGCTTCTCCATCTTTCAGACTATTTTTTATTTTTCTTCTGAAGAACAGCAAACCACATCCCTCATGCCAGAGGAGAAGACCTTCTCACATCTCTCCTTGCCAAATTTCACCTAAGCTGTTATTGACATATTTATCGTTCTGATATGAGTAGAACAATGCATTTTCTCCCATTTTAACATAAATCCATTCTGATATACGAAGAATTTAAACCTGAGAGTCAACTGGAAATATAAGTTATTGTACTATGAGAGTGTTTGTTCATGATAATGTCTCTTAAACTGCTTTTGCCTCGTCAAGCGTGTATCCCTTTCGTAGAGAAAATTGATTTGTCTGAGGATATATCTACGCTGCATAATGTACTATGAAGATAAATGAGCTTGCTCAGAAGCAATATAGTGTGGGAGCTCCACGTGAGCTAATTAGTCTGAGAAGTGTCCTGCTGCTGTCGAGTAGAGGCACACCCTCAATAAGTGCTCTGAAGACCTCTTTGTATTTCTTGAAACACAGCACATGAGGGTTGTGGTAGTTGACCGTGTTAGGACGCTATAGAGGGTTTTAGGTTTTCTTTATCTAAGTAGAAGTGAATGTTGAATGTCAGTTTGGACTCGGGTTATTTTCAAAGAAGTATCAGGGACTGTGGCATGGTAGAAGTAGTACTCACCTGGGGCTGAGGAAACATGGATTCTATTTTTATCTCTGTCATTAACCTGTTGGGTAAAACGGAGTGGGGTATTGTGCCTCTGGGGTTAGTGGTAATAGATACTGGCAACTTTGTGAAGTGTTTGAAGATCAGTGCTGAAAAGCCTTATGTAAGAGATATATTTTATTGTTCTGGGACAGGGTGATTAAGTATTTCGTCAAATGCTTAGAGAGCCTCCATTATTACAGGCTGCTTGGATGGGGGATTTTGCTGCGTATCCGTTGGGAAAGTTGGTTGTGAGATGATAAAAGAAAGACATTTTTGTTAATCTTACAAGGATCTGTTTTTTTTAATTGCTATATGCCTGAGGGCACAAAATAAAATGTTGTACTTCTGGTGACCATTATCTTCCTTGGCCAACAATGCTGATACTGTGAATTCTGATTAAACTGTGTTCATTGTTGAAAAAGTTAATGTTCTGGGATAGTAAGTACAAACCCAGGTAAGCTAAAGATAGCTAGGAGCTAGTATCATTCCATCCAGAGAGGTGTTGGCAAATGGGATGTAAGCGGTGGGGAGGGAAACACCACTCTCTAGAAACCTTGGCTTTTGGAAGAGAGGCGAATGATTTATGGCTATTCTGTCTTTTGTTTTGGTGGAAGTAACTGTTCTTCATGTGATGAACAGAAATACAACTTGTCTAGCAGGGCTACAAATTCACACCTATTGACTCTGTGACCTATTCTTAGGTTTCAACTCATCTCCCTGGTTTCTATATGATGTGTGGTTTGTTCTCTCAGCTCTCTTATAACTCTTTGTTTCTTCTCTCTGTTTCTCCTTCTTCACCCTGCTTTTCCATCATTCCTCTTGTGATCTCTTCCTATATGAGGTTACTTTCATTAACCCTGCAAACAACTTTCTAAAACAGCCTATCTTAGCTTTTGTTGCAAATACATTTAATTTGTTAACAAAGCCAGTTTCAAGTATTGAATTTAATTTGATGCATGTGAAGCCCTATAAGAACAAAAATGTTCAAATGTACACTGGCAAAAAAGGAGGGATCACCGTGAGAAATCAAAATCTAATTTTTAATTTGGTGATATTTTTCTCAATTACTTAGTTGCTTCTGTCATCAGTAACACGAAGTCTCTTGATTTGTGAAGAGGACAGTCCATGTAGTTAAAAAAATTGGAATGAAAAACAGAAGGCCTCACTTCTGTTCTTTGCCCTTCTTAAGCCATGAAGGGTCAGGATTTTAATGACACTATAGCATTTGACAGCACAGAAGGCTTTTTTGTAGGTTTTTTTTTTTTCAAAAAGTCTTGTAGTTTTTCAGTGAAATTATAAAACCCATTTCTTTAAAAGTCTGCTTCTAACTATCCATTTCTGTAAGAGACATACAAATAAATATGTCAGCATTTAAAGGTGCCGAAAAGACAAACCTGTTAAAAGCTTGAAGATCCTCAGACAGAAGATCTGTATGAAATGCTGTAGAGATGCCAGATATTACTACAAAGTATTCAGACAGCAAGTGTCATACTCTCCTTAAGAATCAAAGTAATGAAGAAAAGAGATTGAAAATTAGATCTATAAGTCTATTATCAGTTTGGGAGAAAAAACAATTTGCAATGACTTTTATGGCAGCTTAATGACATATTTTTGAAACGTGTAACGTAACAGGCAAGAGCTGTGATGGAATTGTACAGATAAATCATGGGAGACAGTTCATTTTATTGAAGAATACTTTGGCTATCATACACAACAAAACCATTGGGGTTTTTTGTTCAATTAAGCTGTAGCTTGTACAAAATCTCTTAACCAAGGTGCTGTTTTATTTTTTTGCAACTTTCATGTCAATATGTTATGCCTCTTCTGAAACAAGGTGTTGCATATGCAAGACAAGATTTTGAAATATGAAATAGACTATAATGAAGAAAGGTATTTATGAAATAAGTTAGAAAGTAGAGAAAGAGTTCTAGTATTGATTTTTCGATTTGTTTTTTGAAGCAGATATAGAACATAAAACTGAATATAAATTTGCAAGGTCCACAGCTAGCCTTTCTGGAAAAAGAATCAAGGGAGAGTAGGAGAGTAGTAACAGTTCGCTAACAAATCATATGCAATATTTTTAACTGATATTTTAAAATAAAGAGTATATGAGTACTCTCTGAGAAATGAACACTGGAAAATTCCTCTGAGGGTTTTTTTTTTTTAAGTAAAAACAAAAAAGTGAACCCAACACTACTGTAAAGTCACAGGAAAGATATTGATTTCTCTAAAAATATCTAAAGTTCTTTGAACTGTGGATACATGTACATTAACCTTTTAAAAAAACAAAATAAAATGAATAAAAAGAAGTACAAGCTCTAATGGTTCGTGATTCATACACTGATGCACTAGTGTACCAAGTGTTTACCCTTGGAAGGTAACCCAAACATTATGA